CTCACGAGCCCCAGTCATTTTATTCAAAAACTGATTGTGAAACATAAAATCCTCATTTCCATTATATTAAACATTTGCACTCTGCCTCTCTCTCTTTTGCTCTTGCTCGCTGCACGAAAAATGTCAGATTGTTTAGCCGGTTTTCGGCATTCGGCCGCATTTTGCAAGCGGCAAGCATAATTTGTGCTAAGTTTAATGTGCTCCAGTTTTTGATAAATGCCTTATAGTTTCGTGTATGCCAACAGTTAAAACTACTTGCAAATTACTCGAAAGCCAAAAAGTGCCTCCTCTCATATTCACTAATTTTGGTGTCTCTCTCTCTCTCTCTCTCTCTCTCTCTCTCTTTTTCTCTCTATCTCTCTGTCTCTATCTCTATCTCTATATCTGTATCTCCTCGTCTGTCTCTGGGCACTTTCTTGCACCATTCTAATCTGCATTTTAATTCGACATTTACTCGCATTCACCAGCAACGACTTCTATCTAGTCAATGTTCTGTTATTGCTGTTGTTTTTGCCGCAAAATGGCCCGAGTCGATGTGTGTGTGCCTGTGTGCTTGATAGAAAGAGAAGTGTTTAAGAGCTTCAAAGAGAAAAGTGCCAAACGACTAATTTTCTAATGAGCCTTTTCAAATAGTTTTCCAGCTTGAGCTTTGTTGTTAGTTGGCTGTTGATGGCTGAACGAAAAATGCCAGCCATTGGCTCGTTCAACAATTACTACAAAACATCATAAACAGACATCCGGATTCCGATTTCTATTCACAAACACAAACACAAACACACACATACATGATTTCGGCGGACCCGCATAGCAAACAAGGATAGCCATTTTAAAAGCAAGAGCAAGAAACGGCATTTGAAATAAGAATGAAACGAAGAGACGATTCCAAGCATGAATTTGAATGGAGAGTGAAGAAGAGAAAATGGCAATGTGCGCTATGCATTAGGCCGGGAGACATATTACCTTTCATCAATTGATGATTATATTCAGTTCAGCCGAAGCGTAAGATCAAACATACACAAAAGGCCGGCTTCGCAATTCAAATGCTGCATGATTTTGATATATTGTATTTACGGTTGGAGAATAGTAAGATATGCACATGACCACTTTATACTGTCGATCCGATTCAATTCAAGTATCACGACGAACGCAAAGACGTAAATGATGAACGAATTGAGAACTGATGTGCGTAAGCAGCAACCAAAATAGATATTCTTCGGCTACTGCTGCTGTACATTCTTTTGCTAATTTACCGGAAATAATTGTTTAATTTGATGAAATTAATCACATGATTTTTCGGTTCGTTTGGATTTCTCAAAAATATATTTCAAACGATTTTCGGAGCAATTCGAAGTGAAGGCTTTTCTTTACGGTTGGCATTTAAAATAGTGGGCTATTCGTATGCCCACTATATTTTTTGGATGGTTTTTTTTTGGTTAGTTCTCGGTAAAATTTGTATCATTCCTAATGCTCCCCTTTTGTTTTTGACCTATTTTTTCCTGATTTGTACGGGCTCTAACCACAAACATGCCATTCTACTAACACATATCCATTATTTAGGCCAAGAATTGGACACGGCACTGTTGTTTACTCTCACTCACTCACTCACTCTTGTTCTCGTTCTCGTTCTCTCTCCTTTTTTTTCATTCATTGGCTCTGGCTCTAGCTCTTAGCCATTGAACAAACGTCGATGGAATATTCACGAGCGCTTTTCACATTTCTCTGTGTATTTACTGCATTACATTTGCCTGCAAATTTCATTAGTTGCTGTTCGTTGTGCCGGTTGTTTGTTCGTTACATTGGTGTTCGGTCGATGGCACATAAAGTATGTGTTGGTTGGTGCTTCAGACAATGAAAATAGCATGGCATGCAGGGCATCTGAGCCATTTTTCTCTCTCTCTCTTCCTTCCCATCGTAACGGTAGCGGAGAGAAGAAGCGCAAAAAAAAAATGTGGCACGGTCAGAGAAAATGCTTGAGAAAAAGGAGTTGCAAGCTGAAACGAGAAAGAGAACGCGAGAGCGAGCCTCAACTCATAAATAACATATTCACTGCCGTTGTCGCACATTGTTGTCGAGCACAAAGTTAGGAAAAAATACGAACGAAAGAAGAAAAAAACACTAGTACGTACATGCATACCTGCTCTATCTCGGGTTGCAATGCAGCAGCACCCGCGTACGCCATCGAACGTTGAATGAAGCTCGCAGCTATATTCAAGCTTTCTATCTCGATTTCGTTGTCCATAAATTCTATGAGCAATATTTTCGCCCGCAGAAATACCGACCGAACAGAAAATCGACAACCGAAAGAAAAAAAAATTGCACACCCGATTCACCAAATTCACCGAAGAGGTCGAAGGAGCTGGGCAATCTTATGAAATAGCAAAATTTGACGACATTCTAAAGACGACCGCGGCGATATGATCGCTGAAATTGAATAGACGCCTCTTTGGTTTGGTTTGTTTGGCTGGCAGAACGTGTGTTTAGCCACAGTCTCGACAAGAGAGAGAAAATTGACGAGAGAGAGAGAGAGAGTGAATAAAAGAGAGAGAGTGAGAGAGATGGCTGCATTCACCATTCGTTTAATTGATAGGAACACTGGCACATAGGGCAAACAAAAACCATGCTAGAAAAGAACCTAAATACTAGCAACTGACGTAAAATTGGTTATTATCAAAGCATATTTGAAACGCCAGGAATTTATAATAACTTGGAGCATTTTTTTTCTCTTCTTCGCATATTTTGCTTCTTTTTTTTCTTTGAAAATCATCTACAGGAAGTTTGTTACGCGAACATATTATTAACTTGCTTTTCCCGCATTGATTTGATTGCGACAAAACGTCATCAATTCGACACAGTTGCAATAAAGTGCAAATGATAAAAAGAATTCGCTGTGAATGGTATTCCTTCGTTCTACCTGCTGACGAGAGATCTAGAGCTAGAGGGAAATGAAACGAAAAGCACAGCAAAATGTCAACATTTCTCGGATTCACAATCTCGGAATGAAATCAACAACTCGCTCAACTGTTACAAACTCTGTTCCGCTCTTGAAGATGACAACGACAGCACACGAACAAAGTCGTTTGATTCGAAACTTTTGTTTCCATTTATTGCACCGATTTTTGAAGCAGAAGAACATGGGTCTGAATGAGTGTCTGTCTTCTGGTTATGTCTGCAGCTCCGATTCTTTTCATTACTTCATTTCTTTTTTCGTTCTCTTTTTCACTTCTATGAAATCAGTCTATCGCATTATGAAATTCTTCGTCGAAATGATCGCAAACTTTCCCCCTTCTCACGGTGCAACTAAACTCAATAACAGTAGAATTTTCAAATCTCTCAACTAATTGAAATGGAATTCCATTACATCGACAGAAGACATTGTAATGGCCTCGATTTCATCTCGTCTTAATCTTATCCGTCCTACAAAAACCGAAATGTAATTATTTCAATAAAAGCGACAATGCACGGAACGCTGAAGAGCGCAGAGCGAAACACAAACGCAACATCTTAGCCATTAATTTAATTATTTGGTTGTTTAAGCATTTGACATAATGGTCAATCAGTGAATAGTTACGGCAAGGATTTGTTAACCCTGTTTCTACCAGCGTCCTATTTATAGGATACGAAAATTGCCGATTTTTTTATGACTTATTTTAGATTTTCTTCTATCCTGATCAAATGGCTTGGAATTTTCAAATGCCGTTTTGCATGTGTGTTGGAAAAGGTTTTTCCAGGTTTTCAAGGTTTTCCAACTTACAGTTTTCCGGAAAATGCCAAAAAATTGTGAAAATTTAAAACGTGTCGAAAAATTCTGAAACTTTGTGAAAATCATATTTGAGCTCTCAGAAGTATGTCACCTAAATTTCATCAAAAAATTCGAAAAAAAACCTTTGGTAGAAAATGGGTTAAGGACAAAACAATTTTCCCACGACGAATGAACGGAAATGGGTGATTTTATACACATATGCGAAATGGAAAAGTAAAATGAAGGGAATGAAAAAAAAAAGAACAAAAGCATTAGAAGTGCACAAATGTGGAATGGTGATGACGCTTAATTCATGCTTTCTAAAAAAAAATGTGGATGCTTTTCGCGTATCTGCACATGATGATTCGCAATGTAAAGCGTCCAATGGATGCCGTCCATTGTATTTGTCAATTGGTCGAACATGTCGAACGAAATTTCCATTTATCGTATATGTTTTCCATCGATAAATGCCAGTGGAGCGATACACTCAGTCAACTGAATGCCAACGAATGCACATTCCACGCAAATTTCATGTTCCATGCTAATTTGTTGATAGTGTTTTTTTGTTTCTCGTCGCTCGATGAAAATCCATTTGATGTAATTGCATTAATGTAATATGAAAATAAAGCTCGAAAAATGAAATCAAGTGAATTCAATCCATGAACATGAGACAAAACAAAATACAAGCACAATCGATTGCATATATGTATGCAAATGAGAGTTTTAAAGCTAAGGTTAACGGGAGGAGAAAAAAAAATTGGCTTGTAAATAAAGACAAAATTTAAAAAAAAACCAAAAAAAAAGAGGAAATATGTTTGAAAGCGAATGAACGACAAGGTTTTAATGCTCTTATAAATATCGAATGAAAAACGTATTCCCAATGTTTTATTTTCATTATCTCGTATTTTTTTTTAACTAGTCAAAATTTAAATACATCGATGCAAAAAAAAACGACGCATGTGAAACAAAAAAATAAGGAATTCATTTGCAATATGCCGAATAAAATCACAAACAAGAGCCAATGAAAAACAAAACATTATACGATGAATAACAAAAAAATACACAGCAACGTTAAGTAAATGGTAAGGGTATGAGAGAAAGAGAAAGAAAAAAAAACTGTACACACGCGCACACGGACAAATGTAAAATGCAACAGAATAGAAATAAAAATGAATGGACAGAAAACCAAAAAGCATAACACAAACAAAAACAAACAAAAACAAACAAAATTTTTAAGAAGAACAGAAATAAGAATACTCACAAAGACCATTTGTACTGTCTGGCGCTGTATTTAACGAGAAAATAATGGAAACAATATTGTATTTTTTTAGTCTCGTTTTACATTCACACCATTTCGAATTAGTATAAATAGTTGTTGATACAGAAGAGAAAACACAAAAAAAAAAATTAAACCCAAGATGTGGATAATGTTCGCGATTCGCTTAGATTCATAGATCTAGGTTTTTGTTGTTTAATATTTTATATTTTCTCCTTTTTTGCTATGGATGCGGATTTTTAGGCGCGTCGTTTGCAAGCACATTCCATGCAGAATGAATTTGTAGAACATATCCTTTATTACTTTCCTCGTTGAATGGCATTTAGTGAATGCATTTTAAATTGAATCATGGCCACAATTTAGCTTCGGCCCAGCCCATGCCTCGGTTCATGACGAGCTTTCACATGTTTTATTGACCATTTGCTTAATTTATGCACCATTTTGCTACTGTTTCTACGCCATTGTAAGTATACTATTGTTCTTTAGGTTGATTGTGTTTCTTGAGCACAATGTAATTTCTACAGCGGCTTCACTTGTGCCTTGGTCAGGTTGCGACTGCACTGGTACCATGGCACTAGAAATAGACCATGCGGTCTTTCGAAGTTCATGCGGTACCATTTCACATAGAAACGTGTGATGAAACGCGAACTCGAGATGTACGATTTATAACCGAAAAATTATTAGTTTAATTATCATTGCAATGCATTACCACATGAAAGCACATTTCAAATGGCATAACAAAGGAAATTGAACTGACAGTAAATCATGGGTTTTTAAATGAAAATCCAAGCGTGATTTTCAATCAGTTAGACTTTATTCGAGAGTTAGCCTTTTTTCCTCTCTAGCAATGCGTACAAATTTTGTGAACTTTTAAACAGTGATGCCTAAAAGTTTTTTTAAAGCATTTTTTATAATTAATACAGTTTTCATACATTTCGTCTGAGGTTTTCCACATCATTTTTTTCAAATGTGGCACACGCAGGAAGTTTCAGCTGGAGTTCGTTTTGTTAAATTAATACAATTGTTTAAGCTGTTTTCCATAATTTTCTTTCTTTTGTCGAATACTTTTCATTATCTTCTTGTATCGTCTCTAAATAAGTTTCATTGGCGGAGAGTCGAGGGTCATTGGGTGTCTAGTGTTTTTGGCCAGTTGAAAAAAAAACTTCACATTTCAGCTGCGTTTATTGTGTGCTGACTTTTTGATACGTCGCTAACAGATTGAAGCGGTATTGGGCAGACTATCGTGACGAATGTGCGAATAAATGATGGCAAAAAAAAATATGCAAATTGCTTTATTTGGTGGAAAATCATTGAATTTTTTCGTCTTAGCCGTTCGTCGAACGTGTGTTATGGCAAATGGATCCTATTACTTTGTCTGTTGTTTTAATTTTTTTTCTTTGCCTTTAAATTGTATTCACATTTCAACGGACACCCTCTTTCCTAAAATTCGAAACAAATGATAAAACACATCGAATTTGTTCGTTCGAAACGACGAAGTGAACAGAAACACGGATCAAAATTCCATTTAGTCGCCGGAGATTTTCCGTACGTAGAGAGATTCTTCTTTTTTTGCTCGACCATAGCCGCATCGCATCTTATAAAAGGTAAGTGAAACGATACGATAAAAAGATAAGAAAGAAACATGCAAAAGAAGCACATTACATTCACATGAACGCATTGCTGTCGAATGGGACGGCCGAACGAAAAGCTCAACAGAAAATCAGTCGACGAGAACACACACGCAAGAAAATAAAATGGAAAAAAAACGAGAGAAAAATGAAGCATTTGAGCAATAAGCAAAGAAACTGGCGGAAAACAATTTACTTGTATTTATTTAATGGTTCTAATTTGGTTTGAAGCAGCAGCAATGCTGATGCCAGACGTTGAAACAAAACAACGACAATGACGAGAGAACGAAAAACCCTCCACAAAGAGAAGAGCGAGTCCGTGCATGACCTATGTGCGCCCATTTCAAAATGTTGAAAGCAATAAGCTGCGGATGATCGGAAAAGACATTTTAACAAATACAAAAGAAGCCATTAAACGATACACACAAACTGATGATGTCGACATGGTTGCGGATCGGCACGGAGTGGTGGAGTTGTCTGTGTTGTTTGATACAATATTTACATTGAAACGGTCCAGAAACCGTGAACAACGGCAACTGTCATCGATATTCACGTGCTTTTTAGTGATGTAACTACAACAACAGAAGAAAAAAACTCGTAAGAAACAATGTCTTTTCAAACACAAACACTATTTCCTTTTGTGTTCTTCTGAAGAGCCAAATGAAGGTGCTTCACTTGAATTCATCGACTGAACTAACATTAATTTCGTTTTGTGATGGTCGTAAAATGACAATGTGCCATCGTGCACACCACAAAGCCATCTGCAGAATGTTAAGTCTATAGAGAGAGAAAATGTGCTTTTATCATCGTCATTGGACCGTGTAGCTGTGCTGGTGCAGGTGATGTAATTTTAATTATTTTTTATCTAGTTGAAAATGGGATGGCATCTGCCGCACTCTCTTTGTGTGCTGTGTGTGTCACACGTGTGCAACCTGTCTCACCAGGATATATTTATGAGGTGTAGTTTGATCTGGCGCGCAAGTGTTTTTTACCTGGTATTTTCACAGCTTCGGTATGTATGAAGACGAACGGCGTAGATCCCCCCAACCACCCGATCCACACACACATACACACACTTTTCCAAAGTGCAATTTCAAAAAGAAAATTCAACGCTTCAGTGGAAATTCTACGAAGGAATAGCACACACTTACAATTATGTGACCTTTTTCGGGTTTGTTTTACGCCATAATACACACACATTTTTCGCAAAGCACCGGATTACGCGCGACTTCAATCAGACTTTTCCATAATAGCATGTAAATATATATCAATCAACCTTTTCTTTTCGCGAACATTTTGAGCAGCTAAAAGCGCTTTTTTTTTCTACGCGCACACATATGTTCGGTTGGTTTATCGGGGTGAAAGAAAAGCAAAATTCCGGTCTATTCGAAAAAAAAGCTCTTTTAATTAGACCATGATTCAATGCATGAAAAAAAAAGTAACAGTAGCATTTTTTTTTTGTGACAGCGATGCGGTGCGTTAAGTGAAAAATGAAATTTCCGCCGTCTGGCGCAGGAAATAAATCCATTTCAAAGATGAAATGGCATTTCATTTGCTTGTGAGAGAGTGAAAATGCAAGAGGTTTTTCGCCTTATTTACACACTCTGTCTCTCAATATTTTCAATCGATAAACGGTTTCTGTCTATCGATTCAGTCAGTCGTTGGCTTTTTTTGCGAAAGATATTTTATGCGTTTTACATTTTAAATCTGTTTGCGGATAAGATTCTACTTCATTCCCATTCTTCTCTGTGGTTTTGCAAATATGTGTTAGAGAGAGAGAGAGACAGCAGTTCTCGAGTCATCTCTAACTCACGCACCCACGCGTTCGCGCGAACGCTCCAACATCCAATTTTCACCATAACAGTGTAAACGGAATTAATGCATAAAATTCCATTCGCCTCACTCACAAACATCAGAAGAAACGAGACCAAAATAAAATGAAATAAAAATAGTTTTACGCGAATGCAGTACGATTTATCATAACGGCGAAGAAGATCCGTTTTCGAACATCATTTATTTAAAGGCTAAATGGCATGAAATAAATGTTTGAAATGGAAAGGCACAGGCGGGAAAAAGAAAAAAAAATAAATAAAACGCCAAGACACGCGACAGATTTACTTTTTCTTCGTCTGTTTTTATTCCCTGCACTGTTTCTACTGTGTGTGTTTCTCTCACCCGAGACAGAGTAAGAGAGACACATACATAGAGAGACAGCGAACGTGAAAACAAATAACGAGAGAAACCAACGTCGAAAAGGTGAACTAAATGGGAATTTACGATAAAAATGGATGGATTTCGAAATTGAATGAACGACGACGACCGAGACTCAAATGAAAAATGAAATGAAAAAAAAAAACCAAACCGAAGAGAAGAAGAGAATACCTAGCGAGTGAATGCGAAGAGAAATAAATCGGGTAAGGACAAGGGGAAGCTTGATATAACTGGAAACAGGGCAAAAAATATCAAAATAAAAACATAAACGAGGCAAAAAAAAAGATCTCGAAAAATCATACCTGTGTTAAAGTCGACGCTAAACTCCTCAAGTTCGTTTCCTTTAACGATCGTATAAATTAATTTACGTCCTAGGGGACTTTCAGCTTGGATTGCCACTGACAACGGTGTGTGTAATTCAATATTCTCTGGTACAATATCTGAGTAAAATTGCTTGCTAAAAACTGGCATTGATTTATCGATTACCTGCGGTTTTTACCCATTGATTTGTTGTCGTTGTTATTGTTGGCCATCCGAAGGATTTCATTATGTGTTGTTGTTGTTGTTGTTGGTTGAATCCATTGGGTGCATCGAGTTGGTGTCATCGTTGTCGTTGGTGCAAATCAGGCATAGTGAGAGAGAGAGAGAGTGGCCGTTTATCATACGTTTATCACGTTGAATTGCATTTTATTCCACCATTACATCGGCACATCGATGAAAAATTGCAGCGTACATGAATATCGGCCGAAGTTCACGATTCACCAGCAACGAACATAAAAAGGAAGAGAAAAAAAATCATCGATAAGTAAGTGATTTATCAAAAGGAGAAAAAATAAATTCAAGGAAGAAGCAGTATGGAATAAGTGGTAGTTCTACATTGATAACTAGTTCAGTTCCATATATATGAGTTCAGTATTATGCTGGCAGCCCACGGAATGTGTTCACCACGTTAAAGCTTCGAAATAGTTTATGTTATCATCTTCGGTTTAGATTCAATTTCGTATCAATGTGGAAAATATTACTTGAAAAACTTTGAAATTTTCAATGTTCCCACCAACGAAATGGAACATTTCCCTCGGAAAATGCCAAAGCAGAAGAAGAAAAAGCAGCAACAGCAACGGTAGAAAAATAAAAACACGCTACAAAATGTTAATCGAATTGAGTTAGATTAAGTTGCGTTTCATTTTCCAATTTGAATGCTGTTGTTCCCCGCGCGTGTGTATGTGTGTGTGTTTGTGTACACGGAATTGTTTGTCGAATGTAATTAATGTGCTTTGCGTGTGCATTATGCCTAGCGATAAAACAACAAAGAGAACGAGCGAGCGAGTTAGTGCTCTAAATTGCCGATTTATCGGAAATGAAGTGAGAATAGAGCAATGTGTGGACGGTTCAAATCGAATAATCGTTACGTTTCAAATATCATCAAAATGAATGCATTCGATATTCGAGCGAACCATCATCATCATCATTATCATCATCACCACTATTATCATCAGTCAGCAGCTCTCTCCATGTCAATGGGGTTTTGTGTATTTTGTCAAAATATCGGAAATCCCAATGATATAATTCCCAAATAAACTGTTGACATAATACAAACCATTAGTTTTATGATTTTCGAAGCGGTTCATTTGGTTTGCATGCGTGTGTATGAGAATATGGCGTTTTGGTCTCGCTCTCTCTCTCTCTGTGTGTGTTATTTTTCTGGTTTTAAACATCACGTTCGATTCACGGTGTGTTCGGTGGAGTTGTCAATCGCTTGTAATATTTTATCATGGTCATCATAAAAAATTTAATTAATGCGATTGTTGATGGGTTTATGGAAGAGCGAACAAGCGAATGGCAATGGATGAATGGTGAATGAGTCGTGCGCGAAAATGTGTCGCATAAAATCAATTACATGCATTTTCACAAGTGCTTTTGGGGCTATCGGGTGCTAGAAAACATGGCATTTCACATGTAAATGAACCCATTCCCCAATCTTCGATCAGTGATGAACCACATGCTACAACACACACACACACACACACACACACATCCGTGATGTCAATGAATATTTTATGGACATCGTGCACGACATACACTTACACTCGTGCAGATTTCCACGGTTTTATGGAAGACAATTGAAGAAGAATATATTTAATTAACCGTACAAAACTTTATTCAAACACGTTATTTATTAATTGCACGGTGTTTTTCGCCTTTTATTTGTTTTTCCACCCGCAACATCGATTGCATGCCAAGCTTTGAAATTATGCTTGGATATTGGATTACTTCAACCGCCACTTAAAAGTAATAGAACAAACAGAATGCCAAGGGGAGAGACACCAACGCTAGTTTCACTAATTTATTCAATTGTTCCTTATTGTTGCTATTTTTTGCTAATATTTTCTATGTGCAACGTGACAGTTTGACAGTTCATGTACAAGTTCCATTCATCAAGTTATTGTTGTTTGCTTGGAAAGAAAGCAAAAAATTATATTTTGGTAATTTTTCTAATCTTATTTCATAGAAAAGAACCAATCGTTCCATTTAATTTCATAAAATAACTCGGTTCTATACGGTTAAAAACAGTAAATAACAAATCGCTATTTATTCAATAATATTGCTATTTTTTTGCTATTTTTGCTATTTTCTTCTAGTATTTATATGAACTTCAAAAAAAAATAGCTAATGGTGTCTAACCCCATGCAGAATTCATTCGATTATTTTTACCGTTCGAAAATCATCATCTGTCTTTAAGCACTTTATGTTCGGCTCAAAATTAACTGGCCGCTGGGATATGTATGGTTGAAAGCCTTTTGTTGATCAAAATTAAGTTTTTCAAGTATATTTAAACACTTGAACTTTGTTCATCAGTGACCGAATCACAATGCACCATGGATTTTGGCATCATTAGTTTGTCTCTTGGCAAAACAACAACAACAACAAAAAAGTCATTTACTCGAGCGCTACACATCTTTTATACACACTATGGCAACAGTCAACAAAATGAATATTGCAATTGCATTTGTGGAAAACAAAAGCTTTTTTGATTCTTGGAAATTGGAATTTCGTGTGCACGGGTGCGCGTAGCGTGTACACACTTTTTCCACATGCAAATAGTTTGCGAAATGTAAATAGATATGAAAATCAACTCGCTCTCTTTCTTCATTTATTTGTTTGCTAGCTCATTCCCGCCAAATTCGATGCCGAAACGCATCACATTTCATGTGAAACACTCAAACTGTTTTTCAAACAGTCAACACTGTATGCGGATGTGGATGTGGATGAGTGAAGTGAAAATGTTGAAAACACATTTCCATTAAAATGTTGAACTCAAATAAATTGCAAACCATTCTCAAAAACTAAAACTTTCAACGAAATTGTAAATAATTGAAAATGTGATACATTTGGCAGTGTCAATGTTTGTTACCAGTGCCACAGCAATACATCATATTATTTCACCTCTGCTTTCTAGTTAGCACACGGCGCTTACAACGGTCATATTAACTCAATTTTTTTTGCAGTGCTTTTCTCTTTGTCTTTTCACATTCACATTTTCTCGTTCGCTCTCTCCATCTCTCTCTCTCTCTCTCTCTCTCTCTCTCTCTCTCTCTCTCTCTCTGTGTGTGTGTGTGTGTGTCTCACATACACATTTTCCATCTTTTTCGCTCATTTTACCGTTTTTCCGAAGCTTTTTTCTGTTTCTCCTCGCTTTTCCGACCTTTTGCAAAGTTTTTTCATTGCGTAGAGAAAATAGAGAACGAGAAAGCGATTGAGTTATGCACTTCATGAAAGAGTGAGCAAATGAGTGGAAGAGGGAACGTAAAAGAGAGAAGAAAAAAAATCGAAATCAAATTCGCGTTCGTCATTATAATTACTGCGAAAAATGGACTGTATTGTCTTTATATGTATGATAAATTAAGCGATTTTATGACGATATTTTTTTTTCTCTGTCGTTATCCATGGATTTTGTCATCGTTGAGATCAAACGGTAAAAATTCAAGTGGTGTTGTTGAACAAATTCCATAATTAGCTTCAATACAGACAAGAGTGGAAAAAAAAGTACGAAATTGAGAGAGAGAAAAAAATAAACTAAAATACATACCTTAACATGAACGGTAACATCGGTGGAGCATGGTGTAATGCCACCATCATAAGCTGCAATTAGCAATTCAAAATCCCTGTTATGTCCTTCGAGTGTTTGCTTGAGTGTCACTTCACCGGTTTTACGATCAACTTTGAACAGTTCACCGTGGCCGCGCTTCATCTCGTACCGTACCTCACCGTTTTCATAGCTATCCGCATCCAGTGCATGCACTTTGGTAATCAGTGAACTGCGCTCAGCATCCACTGACACAATTGCATAATATGGTAAATTGACAAACATCGGGCAATTATCGTTGATATCAAGAATTGTAACATTCACAATGACATGGGCCACGCGTGGCTTTTCACGATACGCCGCATATGACCGGGCTTCAACAATAAGCTCATGATTTTGCTGTTGTTCACGATCAAATCGAATGCCCGTTGTAACCACAGCGCCTGATGTTAAACCAATGCGAAACATATCGGTCGGATTGAGTAGACGGAATTCGATGTGTTCATTTAGCGCGGCACCGATTACATTCACCACCGTAACGGTTGTGATTTTCGTTGAATTCTCCAAAATTGATCCCTCATAGATTGGCTTCTGGAATACCAAACCCGAATTTTCGGATGTTTCAACGCGAACATTCACCGTTGCCGTATTAGTGTACTTGCCATCGGTAACACGAACTTGTAACTTGTAAAATTCATCAATGTGTTCGATATTCCTGTTGGGGAAAATGAAAGAGGAGAGAAGAAAAAAATCAGTATACGAAATAACAAGTGCTTAATACATCGAGCAGCAGTTTCCTGGGGAAGTTTATTAAAAAGTTCAATCGTTTATTTGGTGTTGTTGTTTTTAGAGCAAACTAACGCTTTTCCATCACTTTGTTAGCGATAATTTCATCCGAACAACCACAACGCAGCGATATCGAAAGCGTGAAGCAGAAAATAAAAAAAAACTAGTTTTTACCATCGATTAACTCGATATACATGCACATGAAGTTCGAGTGTTCGAGAGACGGTGGGAGGTGGGGTATGTTTCGATAAACGAAAAAAAACTCAATATACAGATACACACACATCATTTCTATTGGAATTTAATCTATTTGATAGAATGCATCACGTATTCGATTAGTCATAAGTTATCCCAATGGCAGTGTTACCTCAAAAAAATAGCAACAACAACACCAAGCGTTGGCTTTGACGATGAAACATTTTTATAGTCGATTGCATTCTCGAACTTTATTTGAGGTCGTCCTCATGAGATGATGAACATGACGAGCGCATCGAATGAAATCAGCACAAATTTTTTTACGATGCACGAAAGAAAAAGAAAACAACAACAACGCAACGCTATAGATACTTATAGTCCTTTTAGAGTGTGTGTGTGTGTGTCTTTTTTCTTTATATATTGTTGTTCGTGGTGGATGTCAAAGGCAATCCATCTTATGATATTTGTGTGTGTATGTTTTTCATCAATTGATGCTTGTTGGAACAAAGAGCAAACATCGAACAACTCAAGCCATCTCTCTCTCTTCTTTTTCCTCGAAAAACTCGAAGGCAATGTCCGTATTGTGCTATCGCTTGCAAAAACAATGGGAAATACGTGTGTATGTGTGTGAAGGAGGGAGAGAGTCGAGTCGAAATTAGCAATCGAAATTCGATTTAAACGATGTGATGTTCAACAAGAGAATACTCTTGTCTAATGCAATCGTTCGCGTTTCCTTTGATGTTTTCGTACGAACAATTTTTCGACTCTTCAAATTGCCATTTGTGCATGAGTTTTGATGTTGGTTTTTGCGCTTTTCCCAATATCAAAAATGGTGAAATGATTTGCGAGTGAATCGAAGCTAAAAGTATCAAAAGCTCATTCGTTCGTTTCGCTTGATGTGCGTACATGAAAGCGATGCCAAAACCCTTTTATTGAGCACACACATACATTCATTGGGCAGCATGATCATATTTGTATCAATCAAATCTACGTGGAATCTATATCTTACAAATGTATCGAATATTGACGCATACACACTGGGAATTTCGGTGTGCTTGTTGCTTTTGGAATTAATTTTTTTTGGGCGCTTTCCAACTGTTTCTGACTGTGTCATGGATCGTTTTATTCTAGATTTTGGAGTGCTTTAGTGTGTGTGTTGTGTGCGATAGCTGTTGATGAAAACTAAACACCTTTTTTCGCCAATTGATGTTTTCGCTCTGATGCAAAAATATAGTGCACACATAAAGCTTGCTATTTCTCTCACTCTTTCTCTCTTCCTTTCACAGAGGGATATAGGGCGAATAGGAAAAAAAGAAACCGAGAAGAAAATCAGCAAAACGGCAATGTAAGCATTGAACAGAGGGAAAAACGAAGAAGAAGAAGAAGTAGCACTCCAACATCCAGAAAATATATTACGAACGTGCATATGCAAAACATGGAGATCCCTGCAAATCTTGTTATGACTTTATTTAGTTAAATTATTTGAATATTAGATAAATGTGTGCTTGTGCTCTCTTTTTCCCTCTATTTCTTTCACAATTGACCGAGAGAAACGTTGAAATATGGTGGAGCATATAGAAAATGTGTGCAAGTAATTCGAAGAATATGCTTTCGATGTTTGGTATGTCATTCATCTTTTTCGGTATTGGTGGTGTGTAATTCGGCCATATGACTTGAGCCATTCGACATATTCAATGAAAACATTAATAATCAATGTGCAAAGTTGTTTTTTTTTTGTGTACGACCGAACAACGATAAGCCCGAAAAGAAGGCCATCATGAATAAATATACCAAAAAATGCTCTGGTTTCACGGTGACTCTTTTTTTCCTCTCTCACTCTATCTGTCTTTTTCTCTGCCGCTCTCTGTGTTGACCTTTTACCGAGATCTCATTCAATTTGTGTCAATTTATTCTTTTTTAACTGAATCAAATGCACAAAAAGCATTTGAATTAGCCGGGCCGTGTGTCCGCTTCATAAAATGTGACCAGGCAACACAAAGAGAGAAATCGGTTAACTCTCTTTCTCTTGCCGGCTCATTCGCCGAAAAACCCAAAGATTAAAACACATCCAAAGGTGCGGCTGTTTCATCTGCTCATTTCTGTGAAACGAGCAAAAAAAAACACCTTTTTTCACCCATTTGTTATTGTTGTCTTCGTTGCCGTTGTTGGTACCTTCTGTTCTCCAGCGCTCGATGCTAACGCTATTACAAGACTGAGAGAACGAGAAAGCAACGCTAGGAACAGAGAGAGAGAGAGAGAGAGAGAGAGGGAGAGAGAGAGAGGGAGAGAGAGAGAGAGCTTGGTGCGGTTCATACGTAATTTTTTTTATGTTTGTGAAACGAGCTTAGAATAAATGATTAGAATGGTGAAAGAGAGAAAGGAAAGGTTATTCAGTAGTATGTTGTTAGTAAAATGTGTACGTTACACATACACATCGTACGTGTGTCTATGGGGAATGTTCTTTGCCCCGGAACAGCACAAACGTGTGTAGAACTTGCGAGAGTGAGAGAGCAAGAGGCAAAGAATAGATGAAAAAGAGAAAGAAAAAAACAGAGAAACAGCCATTGAAGCCACTTAACGATGAAATATACAAACTCGGTATGCATATTCAACCCCAATATTACATACACTCGACTTCACTTTCCACACATGTCGCGTGCACGCTTCTCCAGAACGACGCATTTCGAAACTACCATCGAATAGATAGAGTAGTAAAAAGAGAAGCAGCGTCGAGAAAACATTAAGGTACACGCGATGTGTGTGAAATTATAATCCAAAATCATTTCACCGAAGAAAAAAAAACGAAAACTATTTCCCGAGCGGAAGAAAAACACGTGAACTATTTGAAAGGAATCCACGCAAAACAGCGGTGTAGATATGAGCGCGTATTTGCCTATAACATTGCACCCTCGCAAAAAAAAAAAACCTGACCAAATAAAAACCGACTTTAAATTTCGGCCGAAAAACTAACAATAGCACTTCCGGAGATTTCGCAATCTTTTTTAGGTTGGATAACACCATAAAATCTCCTACTCAAATCCCCTTCAGAAGAAAAAAAAAATGCCAAAATAAGAAGGAAGAAGAAAAAAAAAAACACCCATAAACCCATAGATTGCGGCTCTGTAAAACGCCAACACAATGAATGAATGAACGACCCATCGACCATCATGTGTATCGTACACATCAAAAGGTCAGTTCCGATTACTCACATATTTTCGATTCATTTACTTTATCAATACACACTTCTGTCGAGCACACAAACAAACACACAATGTTGACAAAGTAATCACATTAAAATTTCACACATATGATCCACATCGGACATTTATTCCATTAAATGGATGCGGTGGCCAATGACTGATGGGTTTACAAACGTTTCGACAAATACCGCCAACGGTGATGAAAAAACGTTATTTTTCTGTAGTGTTTTATTTTGACAGTTCAAAATACCGCAGAAATAACGATAAAACCGGGAAATAACGTTTTTTGGGCGTTATTGAACGGCTCTGTAAAATAACGTTTTTTCGAAACACTGAAAAAAATAACGCGTTTTTAAACCCCACCAATGAAACTCACTCTTACATCATTCATTATTCGAGGGCGGTGGTACTCTCATGACTTTTAGATGGAATATTTCAATGCGTAATAACAACTTTCAAGTGATTTTGGGAGAGTTTGCAGAATTTCTGCGAAAATTGCTTGAAAAGAAAATCGTAAATAAATGTGTGTGTGTTTTTTTTTTCTTATGAAAATTATTGATCCATGAATCTCTTTATCCACTTTAATTATCAAAAATGAGACGAAAGAAAAAAAAAATCATCTGAATGAAATATGTGATAAAATCATCGTCGCTCTGTGCATAATGGCATTCATCATTCTTAAAGAACGTTAATCTTGTCTATTTCCGCCTTCCATTTGCTTAATACTCTCGCCGGATCAATTTAAAATGCCCAGAAAATAAAAGCGCTAAAATATGTGCGGGAAAAAAATCCAGCGGTAAAATATGAGAGAAAGCAAAAAGTTGCTCAATGATTTCGTTGGACGAAGGGAAAAACATCGGGAAATGGAATGTAAACGAGGAAGAAGAAGAAGAGAAAGAAAAAATCGTCAAAGAGTGCTTTGAATGAAGACGTTAAAATCTCAGGTATTCATAATTTTTCCCGAACGCCCTCACGGTCGCGGCTAGTGTCAGAAAAATTTATTAGAAAAGCACAAAACACATCATTTGCATTGGCTTTTATTTATGGCCAAACGCGAACTACATTTTTATTTTTCTCTTTCGTGGGGTAGTTAACAAGCCTGCTTCAGAATGCTCAACGTTTTTCTGCTTCAACCAAAGGCGAGAGAGTGAAAGAGCGTGAGAGCGAGGTAGCAGGGGAAAGGAAGGAATGGAGAAAACAAGAGGAAGAAATAAGAAGAAGAAGAAGAAGTGTGTGAGTGCTTTGGAAATGATTATGGACGTGAATTGGCGAGTGAGTGTGGTTGGCGTTGGTCAATCTCAGTCGGTGAAGCCGTGAACGCGTATTCCATATCAATTTGACGTGTTTTATGATGAATGCAAAATTATACCAAATCTAAAATATTCCGTGGATAGCCCAACGGATACCGGGTATATTTTATGGTTTATTTGACTTTGGATGGCTTGTGTGTGCGGGTCAGGCCGTGCAAATGGTATACAGTACACACTCCCTCCAACACCTCATTTATACACATGGTCTAATCTGTTTCGGTCGCTTCCCTTGCTCTTGCTCTCTCTCTCTCGCACACACATTCATCCACTGTTTTATTGGTCGCCAACGACGATGACTACGTTCCTTTCTTTACACACTCTCGGTTGTTCTCTCTCGGTTCGCATGTTTTTTTTTTCGTTGCTAGCAAAAATACTAAATTTCGAAGCACGAAATGCAAACGATGTACATGTGTTGCCACTTATTGTGTCTGAGAGCGATGTAATAGAGGGACGCATTCAGAGGTCTAATAAATGGCAATGCGTCGCATACAAAATCATATATCACATTGAATTATTCACTCCACAACCAGATATTTATACTCCCCGAATGGTAGCACCACCACCACCACCATCATACGATACAACATGCATGCGCTTTTTTTCTCGTTCAGCCACAATCGTTTTTTTTTCTCCGTCCGGTTTGTTGAAAGAGACAGTGAAATTATGCTTACCGTGTTGTAATCACGCCAGTGTGGCTATTAATTGCGAATACACCATCTTTATTGCTGTCTTCAACAATTTCATAGTGTAACACGGTGCTGCTGTTGCCATTGTCATCGCGATCCGTTGCATTCACTTGCAAAATGGCCACATTTTGATAGGTAGGCAGCAAGAGGGACACATTGTATTCCGGTTGCGTGAAAATCGGCGGACAATCATTAAAATCGAGCACACTGATTTCCACTCGGGCCGCTATTTCGGACGACAAACGCGGCTTCCCCAAATCCGATACCTATAAAATCAATATACAAAATGTATTTAATTCTCGCGGTTGAATGTAAATGAAAAAGGAAAAGTATTGACTGAAAGTTATTTTTTTGCTTATTCTACGGTGTATTCTAAAACTATGTTAAAAGAAGTAGTTTTGGAATTCTGTTTGCCACAGAAATTAGTCTTTTTCAAAGCAAAGAATGAAGAATTAGTCATTTTTCTCTTGCATTTCTTGAATGACAAAGAAAAGACTCAAAAAGAATGATGAAGAAACAAAATGATTCATAATAACAACAGCAATGAGAAATTTCATAAATTTTTCAACGATTTATTATTACTTGAAGGATCGTTGACATTAAAGACGATCTAAAGTGTTTGTTTTTTGCTTTATTCAATGATTAAGCTATGGCGTGTTGCATTGAAGAGAAGAAAGATATGACAAACGAACGCACGAAATATTATTAAAGTTCAGATCCGGGTGCAATATCGAAAAGTCAACGATGGTTCGGCCGGAACCACCGCATCGAATGAAAACAAGTGTAAAATAAACGACCGAATACCGATTATGATTCAGCTAAATGCGGTACATTGTGCACATTATCAAATGACAGCACACAAACACACACACAAAGCACATGCTGCGAGCGCACGAGCTCACGAACGAACGAACGATGGAAGGAACGAGGTAGAGATCGATTGAAACTGAATATATGGTATATATCGACGAGGTCTGAATTAGACGGTTCAATAACAGAGCGAAGACTTAACACAAATATGGAAGCGTCAACGGTGACGAGAATGGATGAGAGAAAGAGCAAGAGCATTAAAGTTTATAATAGAAAACTTATTGAATTTTAATATTTTATGGCAACATTCGCTGTTGCACAATGACGACGACGGCGGTAGCGATGGCGAAGAGGACGACAACGATCCAAAGTAACGGTAAATTGGATCGAAGCAAAATTATAATGACGACGACGACGACCACGACCACGACGAAGAAGACAATGAAACAAGAAAAATAATTGAGTGGCAAATGCAAGGAAATTTGACATGTTAGTCTTATAACAGTCGCATTTTTTTCTGCTGTTGCTGCTGTTGCTGCTGTTTGCTTTCGTCATTGTCGGTCCAGGCGGTGGATGGTCGTGCTGTTTTGCGTGAATGTGTTTTCATTTAAGCATTTTTTTGTTCTCTCTCTTCAGTAAATTTCTCCATAATAAACGTGGCGTGGGACAAAGAGCGAGAGACTGAAGGCAATAGAGAATGAGCAAAAAATGTCCGTCATTTAAGCGCATTTTATTTTTATTTCTTATGTCACGGAAATGACAGAAAATTTATTTAACGAACCAAAAAAAACTATACAAAACGTTAATATATATAATCTGCTTGGCACGATGTGGCTGAAGTGTGCTGGGCGCGTTGTGTGCAAGCAATGAGAATGAAGAAGAAAAAAAGCCACAAGAAAATGAAGAGACGGGCAATACCAACAAGTTCAAACACACACACAACAACAACAACGATGATGATGACGAAAAAAAACCAGGAGACAAAAAGTGCACTGCACCGAGAAAAAAAATGTTGTGTATATATGTGGGAAAACAACAGAAGAGCGAAGAACGGCAGTCAGGTCACCGATGAAGAAATAAGAAGAAGAAGAAAACAAATTCATGCAAAATGTCATTAAAGAATGGAGTTATCATACGGAATGTGCTTTATGGCTGTTTTGCAATGGCACACAAATGAGTAAAAGGGGTACATTAGGCCGTTCACAGTCTTATAAATGTTGTGCTCCCAAAAGAAGCGAACCAAAAAAAATTCACTAAACATAAAGCAGGAGATGAACGAGGAGGAACAAAAAAAATCGCTGCTTCGAAATGTTCCTTGCTTGTGAACAGTAAATGCAATAGCCCCTTTTTTGCCAATGTTTTTTTTTTTTGTAAATGACAATTTTTATAAAAACTGTGCTACATATTTTTTCTCTCCATTATCTTCACCGGCAAGTTAAGGAAAAACATCGACGAATGACGACGGACACACCGAGAGAAAAAAAAACAACCAAAACGAAAGAGAATGAATGTCAAAGAACATATTCTCCAAAGTACACACGAAACGACTAACATGATATTTACGTTGGCTAAAAATGAAGTTTTACACACACAAAAAAATAAAATAAAATGATGATAATAATAAGGAGAAAGAGAGAAAGCGCTTACCTTAACATGGAACGTAAAGAGTGGTATCTTTTCATGATCCAATAACATCACATTTTTGATAGCACCTGTTGTTGAATCGATATGGAAATAGCGACGTGGCATCGTCTCAACGATATCATAATGCAGATGTGAATTGAGTCCAGCATCAATATCATAAGCCTTTATTACTAATGGCACACTATAACAGAAATAACAACAACGACAACAACAGAGAAGAGATGAGAGAGTGAAGAGAAAATGAAAAAAGAAACACAAAAAAAAAGATTGAAAAAAAAAACAACGCGATTGTAAGTATGCATGAAAAATCAATGCAAATAACAGAGAATTGCAATCACAATGCTCATTTTGCATGCATCGCATCACTTTAATATATTCGGTTTGAACAGAAGAAGAGAAGAAAAAAAATTGGTTGCATCGACCAAATCGAATCGATGATGAGATCAACGTATGGAAATGAATGTTCGCATTATCTTGAAAAGAGAAATGCCAATTGAACGGATGAGAGAAGAGTATATGTTGACCCGGAGTTCTTTTCTTCTTCTTTTTCGTTTTTTTTTTCTGTTTGGCCGAAGCGAAAGGCCAATCAAATTCATCCATTGCGCGCAATTTTTCTGTTTTCGGGATCCGTTGTTGTTATAGAGAAAGCAATTCCACATCATTTAGAACACACATCTCTTCTTAATCCGATGTTTTAACGCAGATAACGGGGCTGTGCTTGCTTCGCGAGATTCAAGAAACGTGCAGGAATTTTCGGTGCAAAACCATAGCGAATCGGAATGTTTATTGTTTCATTTTGGAATGAAGTGATTTTGATATGGAAGTTTATACTATATAGGCACAAATGGAACATGCTTTCATGACTTTTTCTCGTTTGTTGGAGGAAAAAAATGGGGGAGCGGGAGAGAGAGAGAGAGAGTTTTAAAAGATTTTATGCAAAAGATAATAGTCGGAGGAGTTGTTTTCGAAAAGTTTGTTTCTTTTTTCACAGAAACACCGCAATCGCAAGATGAATTTTTATTCGTTTCGAAGTTATAAATTTTGACGAATGCTACAGACAAATTGCAAAATGTTTCGGAGAATTTTTTACTCGGGCATTGAATTGGAATGAAAGTCGTGTTGAAAGCAAAGAAAGTCGCTCGTTGTCGCTCCAGGAATAGATAGATAATACGTTTTTGTTGGCCTAATAGAAAAAGATGTTCCCATTGGGCCACGGGCTTGTCCCATGAATCATTTACTCGAATTTGATGGTGATAACAAATAAAATGCTACTTTTATATTCTCTCTCTATCGTTCAAAATGGGACTAAAGATATTTAAATTGGGAATACTAAGTAACTAGAAATTATGCAAGAATGATGGACAAAAGGATTGGACGCAGAGGAAGAAAAATCGATATCAAGCTAAAAATAAACATTTTGAGGGATGATAATTTGGATGGAATGCGAAAATGGTATTGAAATTTAGATCGTTTTTTCCATGTTCCAATGAAGAAACGAATGATTTGTTGCCAAAATGCGAGAATTCCAAAATTCTCGTTCAAAAAAGTGATTGCGACTCGATTTGCAGAATAATTTTTCATTGAAAATTTTTGAAAAAAAAAAAATTTTCCATAAAATTACTCAAAACGATGCAATTCATTACTGAAATTTACAATAAAATTCCTGCAAGTTAAAAAATTCATTCGAAAAAAATGAAAAAAATCACCAAAATTGAACCAGCCAGAAAATTCATTCAACGATTGACGGATTGCTGCATATATGCTGAAAAATGTCATCGCGTTTGCTCATCATCATCAAGGTGTAGATTGTATACAAATTGTAGAGCATTGCGCCCATAGCATATATCGCATACAATCGCGTTCAATTGTTGCATTGGCCCAATGGCCATTTCAAAATATGCATCACAAAGGATTTTCACGCTTGAAATTCGTGTGTGATGAATAGTAATGCAAAGCACACGGTTCTCAATTCGGTGAACGAACAACAAAGGGCCACTCTCTGTTCGGTTTTGTTCCGTAATTTTTTTTTTTTTTTTCTCGTTTGTATGACATACCTTTGATCCATTTTCAGTGTTTCGTTGACGGCTAGAATCAATGATGCAATTGGCGCCGATTCGGATATTTCACCTTTATACAATTGTTGTGTAAAATACGGTGCATTGTCATTTCGATCCAAAATGTGAATTATAGCTGAGGATGTCGCCGAAACGGAAGCCATATTTGTTGCACGTATCGTTAAATTGTAAAACCTGAATCATTTACCAGAGGCACACATCCCAGGGCACGATGAATAGCAGTAGCAGGAAAAAAAAAACAACGACGACAACCAAAAACGTCACGATGGTAATTGGTTGGTAGTAATGATAGTACGCATACATTCCATGGAAAGTAAATCGGATATCAGCAAAGAAAAAAAGGGAGAGAAACAAAACAACAAAAAATGAAAATTACTAAATTTTTCAGTGAAAATGGACATTGGTTGTTTCTAGTTAGGTAAATGGAAAATATCGAACGAATCTGTATTCGTAAAAATTGTTCATTGCGCCGGTTCGATATTGTCGCTTGTCTCTTTTGCTTGGTGTTTTTCTTTTATATTGCTGTTGTTGTTATTGATGCAGGTCGATTCTTTGGACAAATATGTGCCATGTGCATGTTTAATGTGAGTGTGCATTGAACGACCGGGCGAGTGAGCGTACGAACGAATGATGCGCGTATAGCCAGCCGAACGAGGTCAGAAAAAGCTTAGTTTGTTTTCTTTCATTTTTTTTCGCATAAATAGAACAACATGCACATAGGCGCACACACATATCGAAAATGAAGCGGAAAAAATTGCCCAAAGTGTAACAAGTCCATACCGAACAATAGCAGCAGCAGCAGTAGCAAAAAATGAGATAAAACCTTTCCAAAAAAAAAATACTCGAATTACAAAATACGTACTTGGTTTTTTCATAGTCCAATAAATCTTTGGTAGTGATAATGCCAGTTGATGGATTAATAAAGAACGTATCGTCAATATTGCCCGTGATAATGGCAAATTGAACGGAGGATGTGCTTCGTGCTTCGATATGCATGACAAATGCGCCGATCGGTAGATTTTCATAGAGTTCGACGGCAGTTTCGGTGCGAGTGAATTTTGGCGGTGCATTGTCCACCATAACAACAATCACTTGAACGGGTATTTGAGCAAACAACGATGGATTACCGCAATCGGTTGCTTTGACTTGTAGCATGTATTCGGTCATTGCATTGGTGGCCAACTCCTTTGCCACACTAATCGTACCCATCGAACTGTCTATCGCAAATACACTGGCCACATTGCCGCTAACAATCGAATAGACAATCCGACCGTTATCGCCAATATCACGGTCCGTTGCATATGCGGTAACCACAATCGAACCAATCGCAGCCGTTTCATACACTTTGCCCTGTATAATTTTCGATGTAAACTCGGGCGCATGATCATTGTGATCGGTGACATGTACAATGATTTTTGCATAGTTTCGCTTGGCAGGTGTCCCATGATCTTTAACAATCACAATTAAAATGTGCTCGGCCATCAGTTCACGATCAAGCTCTTGTGCCAATGTCACACTTCCCGTTACCGAATCCACACGGAACAATTTCAACGATGATGGATTTCGTGCCGCATGCAAACTATAGAATAACGTTTTATCTTCATCCAAATCGGTGGCATGCAATTGTAATATCTCCGTGCCTTCGGCTGTATTCTCTGATATTTCCACCGTGTACACGGACTCACTGAACTCGGGACGATGATCGTTGATATCTATAACACTAATGTACAATTGCGTTGTTATCTCATGCACACCATCCGATATACCAATCGTTATATTGTATTCACGCTTCCGTTCCCAATCAAGATTCTTTGCCAGTAGAATATTACCATTGTCACGACCAACGAAGAAATCATTGTTTTCATCACCATCTGCAGCGGATAAATTGGAAATAGACAAAAAAATCTTTAATCTTAAATCAAAGCAGAAGAGAAAAAAATGCGGAGAAAAAATTGCATGGAAAGCAACAAAAAATTATACCGAACAAAATCTCATCTCGATACAAGCAGGAAAAAAAGCCAATTGTTCTAAGGTCACTTTCGCCATTTCAATTGCCATGAAACCCTTTTTGCATCAAACGAATCGGTTTTTAATTTAATTGCCCTCGTCCATTTGAATGCGAATAAGTTAAATGTGCTTGGAAATTTGCGAAAGAAAAAAAAAACACATTCCATTCAACAAAAGGGGCCTAATTTGTGGCAACAATTCGCATTGATTGAAGTATATAGCAAGAATGTGACACATGTTATATCATCATCACAAGTGGAATGTGTTTGGTGTGTGTGTGTGTGTTTGTCCAGTGGTCAGAAAAGGTTCATTGGCTCATATAATATATTGTGAAAAGGTTTTCGGTTACCACTCAATTTATCGATATGGACCATGAAATCATGTTTGGAATGCTTGTCGAGATGGACAGACACAAGAACATGGACAACAAGTAAAAAAAAAATACAAATATCAAATATATACGTACCGATGATATCAAACCACAATTGATCGTTGTCTTCGTCATATGCCTGAATGAGTGTGACAAGGAAGCCGGGATTATCGTTTTCGGTGACCTCAACATGTTGATCGTTGGTTTTAATTTGTGGTGGATGAACGTTATTTTCCTTTGATGTTGGCATATTAACCACAATCACGCTCACCAATGTGGTTTGACTTTTCTTTGGCAAACCATTGTCTTCGGCACGTACAATGATATCGTATTCAGTATCCGATTCAAATTGTTTTGCGGCATAAATAACACCAGTATCGGCATTGATACGGAATTTTGCTTTGCCTTTGCCCGATTTTATCGAATATGTAACGCGTCCATTTTCGCCCGTATCACGATCGATCGCAAGCACCTGCAACGGAAAGAGAGGAAAAAAAAAGATATCAAACTGAGTGAGAAAACGAGAGAATCGGATGTTAAATAAGGGCCAAGAATAAACAAGGAAGAACCAGGGCGAATGAGAAAAAAACAAGCATCGAATCTATTTTGGATAATCATCACAATGTATATTACATTATGATGAGCGAGTGAAGGAGAGAATGTGTGTACAGAACACTCAAATGCGCCAACTTCTGCGATTGAGTTCATTATATAAATTCGCGCAGATGTGCACCGTAAGCAGATTGTTGTGCTTTTGTACACAATATACAGAGAAAGAGAGAGAGAGAGAGAGAGAGAGAGAGAGAGAGAGAGAGATACATTTGCGTTGTTCTTTTTGCCACTTATTCTTCTGGTGCTTGTGCGAGCATATAAATTGTCGATTGTTATGGGCGTAGAACTTACACCACAATACCGTTGCTGGCTTCGAGCCACCCGCCCTCGCTTACTCGCCTCACCCATCCCCAATGCCGATTACAATATTATTTGATTCAATGAAGTAAAATATAATAAAAATAATATTTCTACACAATCATAATCGCAATCAGTAATGAAGCTGAGCAAATCGGTTTCAACGAAGCACAAACCAACCTGAGCGCACGGAGATGAGAACATGTTATTTGCTCATCTCATGCGCGCGCGCTTCCTCTCTCTCTCTCTCTCTCTCTCTCTCTCTGTTTCCATATATCGCAACAGCCGTGGATTATTTGCAAATTACAGCAAAAACCCATGGTTGCCGCATTTCAAAATGTGCTGGCATGTACTTGAAGCGATACTTTCGAATTGATTGTTTTGATGTAACTTGCTTCTCGTCTGTAGCAAAGCGCACCGGTTCTTTCATTTTTTTTCCCCTTATGTGCGCTTCACCGAACGTATGTATGTATGTGTGTGTTTCTATATTTGTGTGTGGTGAATGTTTATAGCCGAAGGTGGATTTTCCCGTGTTCTATTTCGTCGTTATTTTCGATTCATTCGATGCAAAACACAACAGACAACAGAACACAAACGATGGCTGTACAATACGACAGAAGAAAAAGCCCATAATTTTCCTATAAATAGCTTCCAACATTCATTACACTACTGTGTGTACTGTTTCTTTGTGTGTGTGTTTGCTTATCGTCAAACTTTCTTCCATTTATTTGCTCGCGGCCCATCTCTTTGTGTGTCTCTCTTTTTTTCTGTGTGTGAATGTTTGGGCCTCTAAACAGAGGAAATACACGGTGCTTCTTTACTCTGGTGCTCACTCTGGTGCGGGCGATATTCAATTGAATTCGTTTACTACACACCCTTCCCGTCAAACCCTTTTCCAAATCCCGTTCGCCACAACACGACTTGGTTCGGCTCGTGAAATTTGTTGCATTTGAAATGTCTGTATTGTCTGTACTTTTGCTTGAAAATTTATTGAGTTTTACAATATGATAACATGTAATTAAAGAAAATGCAAAAAGCAACTGAACACAGCCATACTTTGCGCGCTCGCACTCACGCCCGCTAGCTCGCTCACTCTTCACACTTTCAAATAATGAACTCTGTGCCATGCCACAAAAACGAATAAAAACGAGGAAGAAGCGAGAGAAAAAAAATAATATATATATGCAGAACAACATACTGCGCACAAAACAGAGAACAAGGTAAGCGAAATAGTAGCAAAAGGCAAAGAATTCAAAGGAAGAACCAAATTACACAAAAGAATCGCGAGCTGTAGATTGAACGAAAAACACAACAACCAGCAAGCAGCAGCAAAAGTGAAATAAAGAAAAATGAATAAGGAATTCATTAAAATGAAGAGAAGAAGAAGAAGAAGAAGTACAGAGAGCAAGTAGAATCGAAAAGAATAGGTAGAACGAGTAACGAGAGACAGAGAACAATAACAAAAGCTTAAAATGAAAATGAAATGCGATTGAGCGAGGAAAAGTAGCGCAATAAAAAAAAGCGGTAGAAAAGAGAGAGAGAGAGAGAGAGAGAGAGAGAGAGAGAGAGAGAGAGAGA